CGTCACCTTTTGTTTCTGATTAGCTTGTGCTGCATGATCTATCATGACTATTTTCTTACCTCATGTTTTTTATTCGTCATAATTTAAGCAGTCTGTGAACGATGTTTGATTATGGATGGTGAAGGGTGATTTTTGGAGTTAAAAACGCAGTAACGTAAAAAAAAATTTGTTTTCATTTGCATGGTGTTAAAAAACGTGATATACAGACAAATGTTTATTTCATTGCAGAAAATGTACAAAATAAATGCCGATTTATATTTCCAGGTGTAGTTCACACTGATTACTTTCAAAGAATAATCAAATAATCATCGTAATGAAATCAAAGCTGCAAAAGTGTTCACAGATGTCATTTATGTATTGGGCATGTCCTCTGTTTTCAGTGTCTTTTGTGCCTCTTGTACTATAGATGCAGCGATCTGGTTTATTTTTTGCCCAGTTTGAGCCAAACAGAAATATCGTACAATCACTGTACATCAGTCTGAGCTTTTTAGGTTTGCTTGTTTTTCTTCTTTTTTTGTTGTTGACGGAAATGTAGTATACAAGCAAAATGCATTGTACTTGATCACTGAGCCTTTGAGAATATCTTAAAAATACCCTTGTAATGTGCTGTTTTGAAAAAGTTTAGTTTTCTGTCAGAAATAAATTGCTGTTCCATCGAGAACTAAAGCATTTTAAATGTGTTGCTATATTATTGTGCATAACTCTCACAACAAACATATAGCACTGTATATATTAACTGACATGAATTACTGACTTTTTAAAGATGAGTTACACACACACTTAGCTACTTAAATGTGGACATACTATAGACTCTAATAAGACAATAGTGTCATTACCTTTACGAAAATTAACCATTTTTACCATAAATAAAATACTATAGTTATAACCACAAATTAACCATGCTTTTGCTACACTAACCATAGTTTAACCATGGTATTTATAGTAAAACAAATGGTAATCAATACGCCAAAAAAAACACGGTCACTACACTTTTACTACAATAAAACCATGGTTAATATCCCTAAGGTTCAATACGGCTCAACAAGAGTGTGAATGTTGCAAAGTTCATCAGTTATGAAGCGAACTGAACTCTACTCAGCTGTAAAGCAGCTCTACAGAATATAACCGAGCCATTATTAAGCTCAAATCAGTTCAGTGTTGATTCATTCAGTTCAAAAACAGTGCCAACCCTGTTGAAAAAAAACAGCATTTGCTGGTTAGGTATGTTTTGACGCTGGGATGCTGGTTTAAGCTGGTCCTTTGCTGGTTTATGCTGGTCCTTTGCTGAAGATTTATTTTCACAGCCTTCTTTGAGATATATATATATATATAATATAATATAATAAATAATTATATAAAATATATTATAATTATAGTAATATAATTAATAAAATATAAAAAAATGCAACAAATTAAATATACCAAATAAAAAGACTAAATTGTTCATAAATATTTAAATACATGAAATAATGAATAATTAAAATAAATGAAATACAATAAATGAAATAAATGCAAAATAAATGAAATATATAAAATAACCACGGTACAGTAGTTGGTGATTTTCAGTCTTTATAAATTACTTAATATTTCATCTAATTTATCAAAACATATATTATTGGGGCATTAATACGTACTGCACTGTAATGTAGGAATGACCAATAGGCTATAGTGCTTCTGCTTTGATATGATAAAATCCTGCGTTTCACTTTTATTTTAGAAAATAACCTGCTTCCGCTATTTGAGGAACGCGCTTCCGGTCAGATCGCGCGTTATCTCTGCCTTCACGCTCGTCTGTCTTGTTATGGTGCGGGACGCCCAGTGGAAACCCCTTCAGCCTGTCAGGAGAGTGTCTGTGTTTCAGTCGGATCTGAGCTCTGGATCGAGCAGTTACCCGGGCTGGAGATGGAGATATCCCTGGAGGCGGAAGATGGAGAGCGCAGGTAAATACAAAACACGCCCGTACACAGCAGTCCTGAGTTTGACAGCCAGCCCCTCAGCTTTAGTTTGGGGGATTATTGCGGCTCTATCACACAGTTTTAGCACCTCATACTTTTGTACATATCTATTTAAGAACATTTAAATGATATATAGACACTAACCATCTTGTTTGCTAAGACGGTTATCGACTGCAGCTTTCATATGGAGCTAGCCGGCTAGTGCATTTGTACATCCTACTATGGTAAAGAATTCGCTAATTAATATTAATTACGTCATGGGACGCGTTCCCATCAAAGCGTATC